ATGCTGAAGGGAAACCGACGATGTGGAGGAGGCGTCTTGGCCATTAATCACACTATCTTCTGTAGCCTGGAAACAGGAATATTAATAGAACTGTCCTCATGTAAACAACCCAGAGTAATGCCTTAGTGGACTGTCATTATTGGGCATAATCAAATTATAAATGTTTTGTTTGTTTGACTAGTTTTGCTATTATCAGAGCCATGTAAGAACTAGTGAGACTGACTTGTCTGTAAAACTGGTGGTAAGTTTGACAGGGATGTGTACAAAATGGTGTTATTTAAAAGACCAGTGTGAAGTATTGAGTGGCATCATGCACTGAATGTCACTCACCTTCCAAGTGTGTAGGAGAAACTACGGTCGCCGTGAAACTTGTGAAAAGCACAAAAAGCCCTATCTAGAGCCAGTGTTTGGTTTGTCAATTCTGGGCTACTGTAGATATGTGGTGGATGAACATGGCGGACTCCGCCAATTTGTAGATAAAAAAACGCTCATTCGTCTAATTAGTGTAATTTCCCCCTGCAGCAGGCTTTTTCAGCGAAAAAGCTCTGATAAGCCCACTTTACCCTACTTTACTAGCACTATACTTTGTCAGAACACTGACAAAATTAGCAACTAGCTGCTGACAGATAGGTGGAAGAAGAGGAAGAATGTGTTATCTGTTATTTTTAAAGGCTCCACTGTCTCGATTCGATTCTGGAACCAGAAATTTCCAATTTCACTGTGGCAGTTTGTTAACACACCAGCTGCATGTTGTAGCCTTGAGGCAAAGCAGGCTTTTGGTATAGTTTCTCACTCTTATCTGTCAAATCAACTGATTAGCTTCCCTCCTGCCGGATGCTGGATGTTGATGTGGCATATGAAGTGAGCTGGCAAATACCACCAAGTGAACTTTCCCTTGTACTTTTCCCCTGCACACAGAACAGCAAACAATTGAAGTTCCAAATTTCATTTTGCCATTATCAAGCTTACAACAATTTCACAGCACAGCAATCACACTATAATGAACTTCCAGAAGCAATTAAAGCCTCTTTCCTGTGGAGGGACCTTCATGAATACAAGAAAGACTGCTTTCTCACAGCCTCTAATCACAGAGCATTCCAGCCGAGGTGTCACATTGGCTTTGTTGTTTGCCAGAAATCCCTTCAGGAGGCCTCAGTCAGGTCCTCCAATCAACACACTTCCACCTGACAAAAACTAATGGGACTTAATTGGTATGGCATGCCACAGCTTCCCTCACACTTCAAATCATAACCTCCATCTTAAACTCAGATCCGAATTACCTGAGCATGTAGTGGATATAGGCCTTGTTGAAACAGTATCCCCGCATTGTTTTAAGGTTTCCAGCTGGTCTAGCCTGAGGCTCCACATATCTCCTCAGTGATTAGCCGAAGTCATGGTCCAAACATAGAATTACTTAACGCCTACTCAATTTAATTTCTGAACATGAAAACAAAAATAAACAAAGTGCAGCTGGGGCTTAAACCCAGTGAATAAAAAGAATTGCAACAAGGAAGTGCAAATTAGTCTTTAAAACCATTATTAAAATCATTGCAACAGCATTCAGAACTGAATCAGGTTTATTGCTGCTTCTAAAACACCCTTTAATTTTCAGAGCATAACATTTAATGTGCCTAATAAGAGGAACAACAGGCCAATAAAGCAGGCTTTCTACTGGTCTATAGGTCTCTACTAATAATGTAAAACCAAATTTAAAAGGGTACTCCAGTGATTTAGTATTGCACTTATAAATAAAGTTGTGGAACTCAAGAAAAATGCTAAGAACTGGTGCAGCAGAGGCAGAGACATCCTGACTTTTAGTGTCTAGTATGTCAAGAACCAAAAACACTGGATCTTACATTCCCCATATTGCAATTTGGAAGCATCACATTAGAATCTACCTTCCTGGTTTCCATGCCTTTCAACTGTCCCCAGCTTCCAACTCTGGCTTTCTGTTTAAAAATTGTAGTCTCCAAGCCTTTGTCAAGTTAACTCGGACGACATCATCAGTCTCTTTTTTTTTTCCAAACATAGGAGGGCTCCCTCCAGAGTCACAGAAGACATATGGTTTTCACAGGCTAAGTATGACTAAACATGACGAGTACAGTGAACTACACTTGATGTGTAAAATCAGTGGAATGCTCCTTTAATATGTAGATTTTGCTAGCTAATGTTAGCTACTCCATGTATCTTTGTTTTGACTACTAATTAGTTAGGTAAGTCAGTGAGGGTTACTGCTAAATTACGGAAAAATTCATCATCATTGTCATGCAGCGCGCAGGTTTTGGTAGACAGTAGTGCAACCAGTGCCTTGGATTAAAGGATGAAAGTGGTGCAGCTGGCACTTTTTGGATTAAACATCTGAACAGCCCCTTATGTTGCTGAGTGTCAAAATCCTAATACATAACTGAAGTTTTACTTTTATTGTGACTTATTTAGTCATGAATATGAATATTTTAAAAATTACATACGTTTAGTAGGGGGCTTTAAACTAGATGGGGGCACTGAAAAATAACTATTGGTGCCAAAGTGGGCTTTTGACTTGCCAAAATAGTACCAATATTGTCCAGTTACATGTATCAGTGTCATTAAGTTTTTATATGTTCATGCCAAATTAAAAGGTAATTCTCAGAATTTAATGAAACTCTCCACCCACACTAATGAAATTCTTTCAGGGTAAGCTCTTTAAGGCAGAGTGACCCATAACATCGATTCACTGGTAATGAACTCTAAGGTAGCTGCCCTTAAATTAAATATTAATTTAAAAATGTGATTTAAGAACTTAAATATTCAAATGTGAAATAAACGTGCAGGTTTTACTACCTTTCTTTTAGCTGTAGTCAGGGAGGGACTGCTAGTGTAATGCTATTTCAGAGTATGTGATCATAACTGAAAAGCATTTGAAAATCAGTCCTATACATTTTAGCGATTGACGACTCATGTGAAATCAACTGAAATTGTGCTGATGTGGTAGAGTATAAGACTCCATCTACCACTGCAAGGAGCTTAAAATAAGCACATACTGCACATATTGCTCCACCCAGCTATGATTACTGAAGCTGCTCTGCTTTTGTTGGTTTTCAGGCTTAAACCATATGATACATGTGATGTGAGGCCACACACACATTCTCATTGAGAGTCAATCTAAGAAGCTTCAGTCAGTACTCCAAACCATCTGCATGCAGAGCTAAATGCTACATTGATGCATGATGGGAGATCTTTCCTGTATTTTGTATAGAGTGATCAAAATCTAATACAGAATGAAAGCCTGTGGCCTTCACATCCAAGAATACAAGAATTGTATTTTGCTGCTAAATTAAAACCTCACTTTTCACCTTGTTGATAAAAGTCGTGTTAACAGAGAGAACAACATCACCCTCTAATAATAATTTCTTACTAGAGAAGGAATAGAAATCTGCTTCCTCAGTGCTAAAACTATCTGACCAGCTGTCAAAAACACAAAAGGACAATTTCAAAATCTAAAGGTCCATTGTGTAACATTTAGGAGGCTCTATCGGCAGGAATGGAATATAATATTCATAGGTTTTCATTAATGTATAATCACCTGAAAATAACACTTAATTTCACCAGGCAGCATTGCATCTGTTTACTGCTGTTTTGGTCCATCCTCCACTTTGTGTCACACCAGAAACACACAAGTGGAGCTTTTTTGCCCTTGTGTAATTTTCCCTTGATTTATGTGCTTCTACCACGGGTAAATATGCCACTTAGTTAAACTGTTTTCTTTTTGTCTGTTTTTACGATTGGGAATTATTTTTATTCATATTGACATATTTTTAAAAAATGACCGAGCAGAGCAGAGCTCAACCATGTTGAACCGTCATGTTTCTGCAGTACCCGGAATGGACAAACCAAACAGTGTCTCTAGATAGGGCCTTTTGAGTTTTCTGTGAGTTTCACAACCACCGTAGTTTCTCCTTTGTGCTTGGTTTAGTCAAGGGGTTTCAGTTGGTTGCAATATGCAATCTCACTGCTAGATGTCACTGAATCATTCATACTAGTCCTTTAAAATGACTGCTAGGTGTGTGTTGATATACTGTAGCATATTTCCTGACATAACTATACTGTATGCATCGTAAAGCTGAGAAATTGATGAATATTTGTAAATGATTGATTAGTAAATCTTATTAGCTGGTTTCTTAAATGGATAAGCACTGTGCAGTGAGACGAGAGCAATTTCTTACCAAAGACCGCTCAGAAAGACTGATTTCCAAAGTTAAGAACTTCAGTTAGCCCTTCCTCTTCTTTTTCTCCTCACTGCTTTTAACCCATAAGCAAATGATACTTCTGCATCTGACTTTGTTTCATGTTTCATCCATCTTAGATAGGCTCTTCTTGAAAAGTAAGAAAAATAAAGAATAAATACAGGTTGCTTAACAGCCATTGTTTTGATCAAATTGTGTTAGAGTTCTACCTATAACTAGTGGTGAATGTTTGTCCTGTGATTTTGAAATAACCCTGGAATATACCATTTCTATCCATACAGTAAAAGATGTTTGACTTCAAAAACACAGAAGTGAATAATTATATATATATATATATATATTTACATTTTTTGTTGATATTGGTGAAGGTAAGATACCTTAGAATGTTTGGTGAATTGACTGAATATCTTCTTAAAAGTGCTTTGAGGAGGACAAAACACAATACAAACATACACTGAACAGAATGGTTTGATTCTCTGGTTCTCAGAATATCCTCTTACTAGTTACCAAAGAGTGGTTCAATGAAGCATATGACCATCCTAATATATTTCATATAATAAAAATCCCAGGTTCCAACAGTTTTTATTTTCTGAGAATACAAAGTCAATATTGATAAGAATTAAAAAAAACACTATCTCAGTTCCTGGTGTCCAACACTAGCTGTGACCACTCCTTATGAATCATGCCGAACCATCACTGTTTTGTTACACCCTTGATAGCTGCACAATACAGGTTATCACTGGCTAGAAAAGTTCACAAAGCAAAGCTTTATCTCACCAGTGTTGAGGTCTTTATACTCCTGGGAAAAGTGCTCATTCTGGTGCACCCATTCCCCATTGCATTTGAAGAAGATCTGTAAGGCGGGTGCGGCTCGACAGCGCAACTTGATGGGGTTGCTCTTGACGATGTAGGCGTCCTCCGGCTCCTGGATGAAGTGCGGCAGGGTGCCCTGCACCGAGGGTAGGGCATCGGGCTGAGCATCTCCTGTGGCACCTGCAAAACCAACACCTCGGTTACTTCATCATCCCACGTCTCTTCTAGAAGAACGATGAAATGAACAATAGGTAGTCTGACAGAAACAAAGGCAAGCCAAATCCTTTTCAGCTGGATACACCATTTAGTGGTGAAAAACACTTTCAAGTGCATTTTGTTTTACTAACAACAGTACAACAGCAACTGCTTGCAAATCTTAAATGATTGCTCAGTGGACAATGTTTTGAATTCCCCATTCATCAAAAGCTAACGTATTATAGAAAGGCAAAGTATACACAAAGTACAATTCGTTCCCCATTCTAGCAAAACTGTTCTCCTCAGAGCAATTTGCAGATGAATGAAATCAGAGCGGACCAAGTGGAAAGGAATTAGGAGGGGACTGATTACCCAAATTGTGGCTGTGGAGTCTGAATACATCTTATCTCAGCCACAAGGCCCAGGTTTCGGTCCATACACAAACAGCCTTTGTGCTGCCGCCAACATGCCATCGTCTTTAATGACAATTCACAGCAGGTTACCCCCCTTTCCTTTCAGTTTGGCGAGCACCCGGCCCAGTTCACAACTATTGTTCGTCGTTGGCAGCTCATCGATTTAAGCACGGTTTTGCAAACACCGATGTGAGAGATTGCGAGAGCGTGACTTTGTGTACTGGATTTCTTTCTTTTTTTTTCTGTTTGTTTGAAGATAGGTCCCAGCCTCACATGGCCTCCTGTGCTGGCCACCTATGGGTAAAGCACATAGAGCTCTGTGGGCCGGGACAATAAGGAACAGGATGTTTGTGCTTTTGCCATCCCTGGGATCCTTCTCAGAATTACACCTCAGTCCCATCAAGGCAGCTCCAGCTAAGCTATTCAGTGCTGTAAAGGCCCATGAAAGCTATTATGCCCCACCATCAAATCCAATTCTGTACTCTGAAATCGAATCGGCCCTCTCACCACCTCTCTCAATCAATGTTGTCCTTGTTAAATGGGTAAATGAATGGATGCAGGTGTAAAGAGAGACCACACATAAAACAAACAGGCAGGGAGGTGGATGAATGGAAATAATATGCTGACATTACCTTCTGTAGGACAGGTAGATGTATTTATCATATTGCTAGTAATACTCATACCTCCTTTAGCTATTCATACCACCATTATATCCTGTTTTTTTGTGTTCAGTATGTCATGGAAAAATTGAGAAAAAAAGCAAGTCACCAACAGGGCTGCAACAGATGTATTCTCCTAAAATCCTCCATTAGGTAGCACGGTCCATAACATTATATGTCAATGAGTAAGCAGTCATGGCATGCAGAGAGTTTGGCTTTGTGCTGTAAAAGCAGGTAAATCACATGGAATTATGGGTAAGCAATGTAACCATATACCGGATGTAGAAATAAGACTGTCACGATACAACAACGAAATACTTACAGTACACAGCGTCACATGATATTCAGTATTTTAATCTAAAATACAGTTCTACTTATACAGTATGCCTCAGTTCACAGTCCAGGATTACAATACCACACAGGAGAAAGTCCCATTGCCTCTGCCTCACCCATTCTGTAAAAACTCCCTAATGGAAACACCAGCAGTCTTTTAGTAGGATGCTGACTGGTGCGCTAAACTATCACAATTCGCCACGGCTCTGGCGTTTGCGTCCTGTGGCTCGCTCGTATTTCAGTTCAACGAGTAACCCTGTTAACTAGTGACTTCAAGATGAATATGTTAACTACCTGGTGATTTTATTCAGTAGAAAGACACAGGAGACAGGAGGAGGGAGAGTGCAGGCAGGGGTGTTTCCAGACTTATTTGACTGGGGTGGCACAAGAGGGGTACTGGGGTGGCATGAAGTATGTCCTTCAGCTTTCCAGTAATTCTCAATTTAATTCCAATACTAATGGACTGGTTACAGTGGGACAGAGAGGAAGAGAGACAGGAGAGTGGACTGGTTATAATATGAACTGAGAATGAAGTTTAACCTGGAGCAGGTTGTTGAGGACTGATGTTCAGTATAACAATAAACTGACTGTACGGAGGAGGACATCAACAACCACTGCGTTCCCTAGAAACGTGGTGTTGTGTGTGTTGCACTACGCAGTGTGTAAAGACTGTGCAGGTGCCCTTTTTGCATTGATGTGTGTGTTTGTGGGTGCAGCCACAGAGTTTTCTTTTCTGGTTAGTTCTAGTGCGGTCACACTGAGGAAGGCAGTAGTATATTCATAATTGATAATACACGTCTAATGTTAGTCCATAGACAGGTTGTTTAGATTTTTTGACAGTGAGGTTCAAATACAAGTCATGCTTCACTATTTGATTTGATTTTGTGACCAGTTCAACTCATATACAGATGTATGAGGAGTATAAATAACAGTCTAACAACATCCATTGGATTGTCTTCTGGATATACAGTAACAGATCGAAACCTATGTTCCTATAGCTCATACAGAATAAGTGACTATTAGGTCCTTTTATTCACAGGATCAGAATATCATTTCAGCACAAATCAATCAATCAATCATCAATCTGTATTAGCTATTTATAGCCACAGATAGAATTCCTGAAAATGTAACATGACAATGTTGTGTATTATTATTATTATTTATTTGCAGAATTGTGTAGATCATCAATGAGAAGACTGACTATTTCTATATAGTTATTCTTAATGCCCGCCACCTGCTTGGATTTGGCCAGATTTCCCTTGAAATCAATGAAATACTGCCACTTTTATCCACAGGGGCTACCAGAATCAACACAAAATTGAAGTTTCTTGTAGTTCACTCACTTCACCCTCCCTTTCCAAGTGAGAGGGAGAAACTACAGTGGATGTGAAATGTGCAAAACCTGCGAACAGCCCTATCTAGAGTCAGTTTTTGGTATGTCTGTTACTGGCTACTGTAGAAACATGGCAGTTGAAAGGAAGGAGACCCACTCAACTCTGTAGTTACATACAGCTCATTCTAAAGTCACAGAAATTATTCTTTTTTTCAGGTGATCGTACACTAATGAAAACAGGCATATTAATATTGTATTAGATCCTCCTAAGTGTTACACACTGGACTTTTAAGCCTGTTCAATATTTCTGAAACTATTCTGATAAAATCCTCCATTAGGTGGCATACATTATATGGTAAATCATAAACATCCATTGCATCGGGGGAGATTGTGCTGTAAAAGCAACTAAATGACATGAAATAGTGCAGGAAATTGGAAAAAACACTAAACATACAGGTACTCTATAATGAGAAACGTGACAGAATGCTCAATGTTCCATAACAACTGTTCCATAATCAGTGAATGACAGGTTTAAAATGGTTCTACAAGCAGATGGAGATTAGATTATGATATGTGATGGCGTATCAGAGGGACAAAACTGGATGACATGTTCGGGGACAGTGTATGAAATCAATTCATTATATCTATCTGTGCAGAGGAACTCGGGCCAGTGCACACATCTGATGCAAAATTGACTCCTGTCAGATTTAATTTTTTTTCCAACCATACTTCCACCCACGCTGTCTTTAATGTACTTACAGCCAATTACGTATTCTTGTCATACGTGACATTTAAAAACACAAACAATGGTGACAAAAGAATATGCAGCGATGGAATCACTGAAAAGGAAATGTGGCAGTGATTTCATAATGTTTGAAAATCACAGGCAGCCCTGCAATTTGAGCCAGAGTTTTGCTCTCAGGGGGACAGCAGTCTTTCTTTGCCCATACATATCACCACATGTGGAGGCAAGCCATTACATGAGCCACCACAAGTTGTGCACCACACACACTGAGGCTGCCTCCATCTCAGCTCTTTGCTGTATCAATTATACATCTTCTGCGTCAAATAGAGCCCATTTCTTTCTTTCGTTTTTACACGGAACAGTTTATTATGACACGGTGCAGGTAATTATCATTCTCATCTTTAGGCAAACTGTTGGCTTTTCAAGGAATATAAGTACTTTGTCTAAGCTGGTGCGACCTGTGCCTTGTCAACACCCATCTGTGGGAGAGCTATTTTCAAAAGAACATAATTGGGACCCGTGTGCACACTGTGCCGTGTCTCTGGTGAACTTTTTCCTCCAAATGAGCAAAGCTTCTCTTGCTGAGCGCACATTAATAGGAAAACCAGACATGAGCTGCTTATCATGCATCAGATATTAAGCTCTGTGTTTTGCTATATAAATATACAAGAGGAGTACTTACACGTTGTGTTGGTGAATAATGGCTACTATTAACTGTAATGCAATCTCGACAAAACAATCAGCATTGAATCTTCTTTTAAACAACCCTGGAAGGAGAATAATTTGGAGGTTGATTACAGCGGCAGCCAAGAAAATAACATTAACACAATGGTCCCTGTGTTTTTATGTTATCATCTCACTGCATGTTATGACTTACTTGTAGCCTTACATACTCCTCAATGGATTAGGAGGTTTATGAACCTTCAAACTAGCATTTTTAAAAAGTCAAACACGCACGGTGGTCAAGTTAAGAACACAGCAGCTTCATTAGCTCCTGAACAGTTTACATTTAAGAGGTTCAGAGATTGGTGATAAATCAACACAACTCTAGTGGAGGTGACAAGTCAAAAATGCATTTGAAGGTTCAGCCAAAGCTGATATGAGGCTTTGTAAGTCTGAGTTATCCAAATCCAGGGGATATGTTCCAAATAACGTTTTACCAATTCCCTTTGTGTTTCCAGGAACTGTATTTCTTTGCTTAGCTTCAGGTGTTAAAGTCACACAGCGACCAATGACTCTGGTTAAACTAGTGGTTTAAGATAAGTTAGAAAAGATCTTTCCTGTTGGCATCCCGTAGTAAAACCTCATACTGTATTTGCTGATCTGTTTTGCCAGGACAGTACAAACTTGATTTAAACAGCCACTTCGCATCTCCTGTGAACTACTCAACTTCGATTGCATTGTTGTGCTGGTGCTAATGCTGATTATTAAAGTATATAGTGTCTTAAATACTGTTGGACACTTACACGTTACTGTCATACATAACAGTAATGTGATTACTT